AAATGCCGTGATAATAGTCTCGTTTCGAATGTGCTGCGAACTAATGCTGTTAAAACGGTGTCGGGTCAGCACAGATGTAATGTGTCTGACAAACGCTTCAGTGCGTACAGAGCGCCTGACAGCGCAGAACCAGGTTCACGAATTTTAAGGCACAGAAAGGAGCATCCATCGGATCCAGCTCGTGGATGAGATTATCAGGTCGCTTGGCAGGAATGCGCGAGATCGTGTTCGCCAAAAGTCCTGTGCCGAGCTTATCCCATGCAGGTCGGAGCGACCAAATCCTCCAATATGACTTAGTTTCCAAGGTCGATCCTCAAACCTTAAAATTAGGGGGCTTCTGTATGCCCGGGAAAATAAAGGGCTGACGTGGGAAAGTCACGTGAAGGTGGGACTGCTCCATCAGAGCAACACGCCACAGTCAGACCTGCCAAATGATATGGAGCTCACACGCGTCCATTTCCCGCAATAAGCGTGCGAAGTCAGCTTGGGAAGGGAAATGGGACATAAAGCCGGATTATATCCTGACATCACACCAAACATAGATTTAATGATGATTACACGCTTCAGTTTGATATAAAATGAAGGAGACCCCTTCGTTAAGGGGATTCGGCCATTTTCATACTAAGAACACTCTCTCTCTCCTGTAAAAACATTTGCTTTTTCAAACTCTTTTGTAAGTCAATCCGCAGTGGCGACTGACCCACACTATATCAATACAAATCAGTGGAGTAGGACTTGTTACTTAGCATCCGAACCACTTAAAAAACCCCCTTTGCTTTATTTCACTTTTGATATTCCATTTTCACGTGTATTTAACAGCCAATCAACGTTACGCACGTGACATTCGTTGGTGCCAAAAACGAGCATCAACATAATGGAATCACACAAGATGGATATCGGCAGAAGAAGATACCTTCTCATATAATAATCATGAAAAAATAATTATTTAAATTGATTTGTGTCAACGTTTGGTGCCAGATATTCAGTATAATAAAATCTTATTCGACCACACAGTTGACGTACTTTAGCGTAAAGAAACATTTTGCATTTAAAATCTGCTTACGACTTGTATAATGGATGTGTTTGAGTTAAAAGACAGGGATTCGTTGTTGTTAAAACCAATAACATAAATTTAATATGGGTTGAGAGTAATGAAGAGGAGGAGGGTTGAATATGGACTTTGGGATCAAGGCAATACGTACTTGGAAATAATCAACCAATAATTACCTAGTGTTTTCCAATTAATAACGTTCCCTACCAATTTTGTATAGATTTCTTAAGAAACAAAGTCAAATTATTCTTGTTTACAAACTGAAATTGCCAATTGATATAGACGACAACTATTACAAATTTGAGTCTCTTTGATGCTAAAGAAATAAAGAAATATCTAACATAGTCTTCTAAAAAAAGAATCTAACATGATTTCTAAATTCGAGCCTGTTTGAGAGTAAAAAGGAAAAAAAAAAGATTTAATAGGTCTCTCGAATTTGAGTTCCATGGTTGTTAATAGAGATAATACTGGAGCTTTTATCGGTCAATAATTTTAAGGTTTTGGGGATAATCAATCAATAATTATTGTCCAATTAATTAATGATCACCTACATCTTGTATGGATTCTTGGTGAAACCAAGTCAAAACATTCTTGTTTTTGAAACTGAATTGCCAATGATACAGACCACCACTAATTTACATTGGTTTGTGTGATAAGGGAGACTAGTTTATTTATCATAATACTATAATCCCAAAATCATATTAAATCACTGAGTGTTACCCATGTTAATGACTTCATTATTTAACTGAAATACTTAATATAATCAAAATTTACGTCAATCAAGTTAAGACAGTTAAAAATACAAAGCCATAACAATTAAACAAAAGAAACAGTTATTTTCCACTGCCCAACTCTATTTGTTTGAACCTGACGTAGGATTGTGTTCATTTACTTTTAAACAATTAAAATTTGATTTATTAGGGTATGCAAGAAAAGTTTAAAGCCTACTTCTTATTATTTATTATGATAAGAGTGTTCAAACCAGTTTACATGCACCTCAATTAATTCTTTAAGACCTTAAAATTAGGTGTATACAAGAAAAGTTTAAGGCCTACTTTTATTTTTATGACTTGGGATACGGGTCAATTTACACGCACCTTAATTAATCCTTCAGGACCCTAAAACTACCAATTGGGTAAAAGTCTTAGTGGCTATCCTTATTAGCAACCAATGGGGCTCGAACTTAGAATCCCTTGAGTAATACACCCAAGAGTTCCTACGAACCACTCGCACCTAAAAGTAATTAAAAATTACTTTTTTTTTATGGATCATGGTGTACCCGTTTCATAAATTAAAAAATTAATGAAATTACCCAAATTCATGAAATAATTGTACACCACACATGTACCCTATATATATTGGTGTTCTATTAAAAGAATTAATAACTGAATATTATACTTTTAACTAAATATCTTACATAATTTAATAGTTAATTAACATTAGTTCAATTACTAAATTTAATTATCATTTTTATTACTGTGCAGTATTCAATGGACACAGAAAAAGTATTTCATTGAGCCTATTGGTGATTTGGGTTGTTACATTGGAGATTTAGAGTGTTACATAATGTAGTGGGTTAGAGTTTTGAAGTTTGAACCCATTAAAACTCTTTCAAAGCCCTAAATTAAATAAACAAATATATAGAGGAACCTCTCCGCTTAGAAGGCTTTTCCTTGTTTGGATTATTAACAAGTGAGCTAATTACAGTACATTAAATCCAGATTTTCAGATATGATCCTCGGCCCAAAGTGTAGCCCATATCAACCCTTGTATTATTTTAGAGTGTTTATGCGAAATTCATATCAATTAGAGATACTCAATCGACCTCGGGAGGGACCAAGTAAGATGTGCACGTGGTTACTTAAACCAACGAGGTCGATAAAATGACATGAACAAGTAAAGAACAAAAGAGATTTTTACAGTGGTTCGATGGTGGACAAGACAAGCCCACATCTACTATTATGTATTGCTTAAAGGTGTTACAGGATCGAGAGATTACAAGGGAATGGGTGCAATTAAATGGAGGACATTTAACTCTTGCGGCCTTCTCTCACTTAATTCTCTTTTACATGTATAAGTGTGTGTTTCCTTGAACTTTACTAAAAACTGGAATTCATCCCTTGAAATGGAGAGCTATGGCTCTTTTTATACTTGATTCGTGTACAATGAAGAGTGAGTATTACAAGATTGCTTGCAGCAAATCTCATAATTAGGGTATGAATCAGTAATCTTCATGCTTGTGACAGACCGGGTCACTAATGACAACTTAATCCATACTTATGCAGTAATCACTTTATGGCAGAAGGTAAATATTGATGGGACGACAAGTGGGAGGATCTTGGTATCGGGCTTTGGTTAACCTGGAGAACACATGCGCAATATGGCAATCAGGAAATTAGGCACAACATAAGATTACCCAACATGGAAATAATATTCGACCTCCACTAAGTATCATGTGACTTTTAAAATTTATACATAGTCTCTATTTTTGCTTCATAAAGATGTTAAAAGTTGTATTAGTACCTACTTAGATTAACATTTGTGGCTTGCTTAATTGAACGCCAAACAATTCATGATTTTTGTGAAATGAATATAACAAAGATCAAAAATTACGTATAGCGTCAATGAGACTAAAAGACGGATACTAAAAATAATTCTCTTTTACCAATATTAGGTACACTAACTTTGAGTGAGACTTTGTACGCCCATTGGAATGCTTCTCCAACCAATTTTGTTATTTACTCTTGTCAATTAAGAATTAATATATGTTTTATGTTGAATATACATAAACATATAAAAGAAAAATGAATAATTACAATTTTCAATCATCTCGCCAAATTCTCCATCATATTAATGTTGTTTTTTATATTGTTTTCGACTTAGATTTGAATGTATTCAAAGTTGCTCATATATAAATTTTTTTTGCATATATTGCTTTTACGTGGCTTAGGTCAGAAGTAGAGAGAAACCGAAACTGTTGCACATCGAAAAGCAAAATCTTCAACTTGCTTCCAATCCGGAAATGGGAAAACGATTGTCTCAGACTGTGTGGTATATCTCAATTGAAATACATGCCAAAATGGGTTTTGGAACTATAACCCAACTGTTATACACCATCATATTTGTTTGCGCGTAATCGCTTACGTTTCCTCCAAAATATTCTCATCCTCCTATTCTCTGCATAAATTCCACACCGTGTGGACCTCACACCTCTGAAGCAAAGCGCAGTGGGCAACTTCTAAAGAGATTGCGTTGTTTACCAAATTGACCTTTCACTTCACAAGTATAACGTACCAGATACTGCCTCTTCCGGTGCATCAAAGCATACGGCTCACTGAATCGATTTCTAACCGTTCAATTAAAGTAAGATTGCTGTTTATCTCATTATAAATTATTATTATTTGTAAAGAAGATCTTTTTCTTACGTACAAACAAACTTAGGCATGACGAATCGACGATGCCGTCATACACGTGGAACCAACTTTACATGCGTGGTGATTTGGTGACATGTACCAGCACTATTTAATTCCCTTTTCCGTCTTGCTTTTGGACTATTAGTTACATTCATTCACCAAATCATTTATTAATTTTAGAGCGTTACCAATTTCGATTTTCGGTTTGTTTTTAATATTTATTATAAGACTAAAAGTAAATTTGTCGACGAAATATCGCTGTGAATTTCCGAGGTCCGCGCATGGACAGACAATTAACAGGACCCACTAACGTAGGCCAATCAGCACCACTTATATCTCCACGTGTCCACTTCCGTTGACAGCACTCAACCGCACACTCGTACTGCACGTCATATAATACAGCCAGTGGGACTTCTCACCTTCCCGGTTCCACCCTCTATATTTCGCCCGCTCCTTATATACTCCCCGCTTCAGTCTCTCAATCACATTCATTTCGTTTATTGTTTCACCAATATTTTTCTCTGAAGTTTTCTGAAATGGAGAATCTTACGCTCACTGGATGTTGAAGAAAACTGCAACCGAGTTCCCAAACAAGAGAGCTCTTTCTGTTTCTGGGAAACTAGACCTCACACATGCTCAATTGCAAGAACTCATCGATCACGCCGCTTCTCTTCTTATCGCCTCTGGTATTAAGCCCGGCGTTGTCGTCGCTCTCACTTTCCCTAATACCGTCGAGGTAGTTTTTTATTTTCTGTTTTGGTATGTTCTGCTTGGATGACCAGAAAAATAGTCCGAAAACTTCAAACTTTTACCGTCAAACTTGACAAAAAAAGGCAAATTTATAATCAACTTTGAAGTTTTAAATTTTAATTTGTTTTCTTAGCGAAACATTCTTCTTATTATTTTAATTATTTCAAGGCGTTTATTCCGGAATCCGATTATTTTATTAGTTGTTTTAATAATAAAATTGTATTTTTCCAGTTCGTGATAATGTTTTTGGCGGTTATTCGATGTCGAGCCACTGCGGCGCCGCTAAATGCGGCTTACACTGCGGAGGAGTTCGAGTTTTATCTCTCCGACTCAGAATCAAAGCTTCTATTAACACCATTAGACGGCAACAAAGCGGCTCAAGCCGCCGCTTCCAAACTCAACATCCCTCACGTGACCGCCACGCTCCCTGAGTCCAATTCCAAAATTACGCTATCATCATCCACCGGAGCGGAGCCAAATCCTGACGCGGTCGCTCAACTCGTCAATAGCGCGTCCGACGCGGCACTCTTCCTCCACACCTCTGGCACAACCAGCCGCCCAAAAGGAGTCCCCTTGACTCAACTCAATCTGGCTTCCTCTGTTTTGAATATTATCTCAGTGTATAAACTCACCGACTCAGACTCCACCGTTATCGTATTGCCATTGTTTCACGTTCACGGTTTACTGGCTGGTTTACTCAGCTCACTCGGCGCGGGAGCCGCCGTCACTCTCCCCGCAGCCGGCCGTTTCTCGGCTTCAACGTTTTGGTCAGACATGAACTCGTACAACGCGACGTGGTACACGGCGGTCCCCACAATACATCAAATCGTCCTAGACCGCCACGAGAGCAAGCCCGAGCAGGCTTATCCCAAGCTGAGGTTTATTAGAAGCTGCAGCGCCTCTTTGGCGCCGAGTATAATGTCTAGACTAGAGGAGGCGTTTGGCGCGCCGGTGCTTGAGGCTTACGCAATGACAGAGGCGTCTCATTTGATGTGTTCGAACCCGTTACCCCAAGACGGTCCGCATAAGGCCGGTTCGGTTGGGAAACCGGTTGGACAGGAAATGGCTAATCTTGATGAGCAGGGTAATATACAAGCCGCTGGTGAAAAAGGGGAAGTTTGCATCAGGGGACCTAATGTGACTAAGGGTTATAAAAATAATCCTGAAGCCAACAAGACCGCTTTTCAGTTCGGGTGGTTCCACACAGGAGATGTTGGGTTTATTGATGCTGATGGATATTTGCATTTGGTGGGTCGGATCAAGGAGCTCATCAACCGTGGAGGTATATATTTCTCTCTTCTTACTTCATAGTTCACATAGATGATATTTTGTCCAGTATAATGACAGTTAAATTTTAAACATTGTTTTTAATATTTTCCAGGGGAGAAAATATCACCCATCGAAGTGGATGCGGTCCTTCTGTCACATCCAGATATTGCTCAAGCCGTTGCCTTTGGGGTTCCTGATGATAAATATGGTGAAGAGGTGAGCAAGACCAACAATTCTTCGTAGTCAAACCAACTCAGAATTATTATTACTTAGTGGTTGTGAATTTCTAATTTATTTAATCTAATCGGATTTTCCATAATGCAGATTAATTGTGCTGTGATTCCAAAGGAAGGATCAAACATAGATGAGCAAGAGGTGCTGCGATTCTGTAAGACGAATCTTGCAAGTTTCAAAGTGCCCAAGAAGGTCTTTATCACTGATTCAGTGCCTAAAACTGCGACTGGGAAGATCCAGCGCCGTATTGTAGCAGAGCATTTCTTAGCTCAAGTCTCCACAGCTAAAGTTCCCAAGTTTGGAGCTTAAGCAAACGCAGTTCTCCAACGTTTTTCAATATACTACAACATTTATTATAATTGTGGTATATTTATTGTATACAGATTCATGGGTGGTTCTTCTAAACTAGAAAAAATATGATTATTTTATTTATACATTGTTGTTTTTGTTTCTTCAAGATATGGCTTTAGTAGGTGTAATTCTTAGTGACTGAACGAGAAGAGACAATATTGTATATTAAATCTCGGGATCTGATATTTTTCAAATGAATATGTATAGCTGGTGTATATTTGTCCAAGTCAGCGAATATATATAACTTGAATGTGAAGGATAAGCAACAAGCAAATTACAGTGGTTCATATTTGCACGACTCAAATACATTTGTCTTTCCCATTGCATCTGCATGGCTGAGGAGGGTAAAAGAAAACTGACAGTTAGTGAGAGGACAAAAACATTGATCTGACTTATACATCAAGATGGAATATTTTCTTTAGGGAATATGATGGGCTGATAGTCTGATAGCCAAAAACAATGGGTAACTGGTGCAGGGGCTTTGTGGGTCAGAACCATTTAATCAGATTGTGCGCTTGAGCCGACGGTTTGTACTTTTGTTAACATATAAAGTCAATTTTTACCTAAGATTCTATTCAAGGACTTGACCATAATCCTTTGACTATAATCTAAAATTGAAAAGTAAACCGGTGATGTTCCAGGACCAGTAACTTAAATATTGTCATTAGTGACCGGCTTATGACTGCAACCGTAATGAACAGCCATTCTTTGCTCTCAAAAACACTCCAAATGTCAGTGTTAAAAGACAAATAAGATCTGGGTAAATGACTTGTTTCCACCTAAAAAATGGTTTAAAACAATTGTTTAACCCTTAGATTTTTAAAATACCACATTATCACCCAAAACATAAATATAATAGTAATTTTTGTTGTGAAGAAGGGCATGATAGTCAAAAGTTAGTTAAAAGGAAGGGTATAGTGGTCATATTGTCGTTTGGCCGGAATCTTCCCAAACTCTAACCGTCGGTTTGGGCTATTTAGGCGGTTTGACATGATTCCGACGCCGACTCTACCCTCAGGTTCCCCATCCTTCACTCACAAAACCCCTCACTTTCCCACCACACCGAGCACGCCAATCGCCGGCCATTGCTGGTGTTTTGTTCACGCGACCATTGAGCTTCCAGGCCAAATCCTGGCCGATTTGGTTGCTAAAAGTTCTACCTAAAGCCACTTGTAGCATTAGTGACACCTCCTCTCTAAAAGCTCCATCATCCTAGACCTTGGTTGTTCACCGTTCGTTAGACACCGACCCTTCAACAAAAGAACTAAACCACGATCGTTGGCTATTGGAGAGCTATCACGGTCCATATTATTAGGGCTATTGAAGAGGGATAGCCGGTTATTTGTTTGGTGATAGAAGGTTAGACTATAGTGGTCCAAGTCGATGGAAATTGTGTATGAAAGTTTGATTTGCGATGGTCGGCGATTAGGGATTGAAATCTAGTGGGGGTATTTTTGTCTTTGCAATTAAAATTATTGTATTTAAAGGAATTATTAATAGAGTTTTTGATTTGGGTGGGAAAATGGCATTTTAAAAATCTGTGGGTCGAAAAGTGTTTTTAGGCCATTTTTTGGGTGGGAAGAAGCCATTAACTCATAAGATGTTAATGAAATCTACATGTACGGCGTGTCGACTAAAATTTATTGGCACCAAGCAACTAGAGATGGCAAATGGGTTGGGCCGAGACTGGGTATCCCTTAGCTCGGGCCCAAGATAAAGGCCTCGTCCTAGCTTGAGCCCGTCACTGGGATGAGGGGTAAAGCCCAAGCCCGACCCGACGGGCTTTTTGTAATCTCAATCTTAGTCCAAGTCAACCTATTTTTATAATGTGAATTTTTAAATATTAATAAATTTTCATTTTTTTTATATTTTTAATTCTAGAAACAGTTTTTAAATATTAATTTATTTTTAAATACTCAACAAATATTAATAAATTTCAATTTTTTTTATATGTATGTAGGATAATTATGAAATTAGATATATAGTATAAAGGTAATTTAGTAAAATTAATAATAAAATTGTCGAACTGGGCCAAGCTAGACCGAGATTGAAGACATATTTATGCTCGACCCGTACCCGAGGACAAACCTTAAAATTAGACCAGACACAACCCTAAACCCGCAAAGTTACACCGAGTAAAACCGACATTTTTTTGCCAGATACCCAAAAATACCAAATCCATTGCCATCTCTAAGAGCAACGTGTCACGTGAAACCATTTGTAGTTTCTTCGTTCAACGAGGGACTGATTAGTCGTTTTATGTGATTCGACTTCCACAAAATTTGATTCCTCATCTTTATTGAAATCTTCAATTAAGTTTGCCATCACACATGCTACATAATCGACTATTATTATATGACACCTTTCAATAAATTATTCTCCTTTTTGTTTGCAACGTCGTCGTTTTAACGTGATTACTCAACGACGTCGTTTTAACGTGATTACTCAACGACGTCGTATCCTAACCCCACTTTCCGTCCATTTGTTATTTCTGTTCTTTAATTTCCAGAACTGTAACTGCAAAAATCATCGTACTTTCTTCTGGGATCCTAATCATTTCCAACCTACTGTAAGTTCCCGAATTATGTAATTTTATGAATTCCCTCATTTGAGCTCGCCTACGTATAGATTAGCTCTAGTTCCTGCTTTCTATTTCGAACTTAACTACAAATATTAATTTTTAAATCGTTTAATTTGTGGTGTAATTCTGATATTATAATATTATGAAAATAAAAAAAATCATTAAGAAATCCTTATTCTATGTAGATATGGAAGTGAAGGAGGTAAAGAAGTATGCCGCTGATATCTCATCCATAAAAGAAGCGCATAAGCGCATCAATTCATACATACACAAAACTCCAGTTCTGTCCTCGGAGTCTCTAAATGCTATATCTGGAAGGAGTCTGTTCTTTAAATGTGAATGTTTCCAGAAGGGGTGAGAAAAGGAAACTATTTTGCACCGAATGAATCAATTTTTATTTTGTTTTTTTATATCTGTAAGATTGCATCTGATATTATCTTTATACTAAAGAACCTTTTCTTTGTTTCGTTTCACAGTGGAGCCTTCAAATTTAGAGGTGCCTGCAATGCAGTACTCTCGCTTGATGATGATCAAGCTGCTAAAGGGGTTGTAACACATAGCAGGTTTTTACTGAGCTTATTGGATGCTTTGTAGTAGTTAAGGTTGTTAACTTGTTTGAATGTCCCCTGATCTTATTTGTCAAAATTAGTGGTAATCATGCTGCAGCCTTGTCTTTGGCTGCGAGATTGCGGGGGATTCCAGCCTATATAGTTGTACCAAAAAATGCTCCGAAATGCAAAGTTGAGAATGTTATGCGATATGGTGGTCAGGTTATATGGAGTGAAGTCACAATGCAGTCAAGGGAGAGTGTTGCATCCAAGGTGTTGCAAGAAACTGGTGCAGTTCTTCTACATCCGTATAATGATGGTCGCATAATAAGGTACAATATTGATTCTTACTATGTTATTTGTCCCTTGGCAGAATTCTAAATTGTTAAGTATTAGATGAAATGATGATCTTCGTGCTATATTGATAGATATTGTGTGTTCACAAGTTGCATTGTTTTCGGTGTACATCTGATTTTCTAAGCTTTGGTTCAGCATACTTCTTGTATCTTCGTTATTTCAGCTTTTCTTTCTTTCCTTTTAATTTTATTGTTTGGGACAATTGTGTTTGGTAAATTTGAGGGAGTAAAGGATGATGCTTGTGAGCAGTGACAATTTCTTCTGCGAATGAATATATGTAACCCGAAATCTGTTTTGGGGTTTGCACTATTAGTAACAGAAACTTAGGATGACTTAACAGGTTATACTCAGCAATAGCTTAGTAAATTATCAACTCTCATTGTGTGTAGCTGCAGCTTTTATATATTGAAATAAATCCTTAATATGGACTCTCACTTGTATGCTTATTTCTTGTCCTCAAGAGGAGCTTCTTAATATAGCATGCAGAAATGTTCGTATGCAGGGAAGTCTGTGAATTTGAATACAGTATGATGAGTTCAAATTTTTTTTTTATTATTATTATTATTATTTTGGTTGGTGCAGTGGGCAAGGTACCATATCATTGGAGCTTCTGGAGCAAGTCCCCCAACTCGACTGTATAATAGTTCCTATAAGTGGTTTGTTTGACAGTATTTTAAGGTCAATTTGTCATTATTCTTTTTTTTTGGTTTTTTATTCTTAAAAACATTCAACTGTAGGAGGTGGCTTAATATCAGGGGTGGCATTGGCTGCCAAGTCCATCAACCCTGCTATTCGAATTTTGGCTGCTGAGCCAATGGGTGCTAATGATGCAGCTCAATCTAAAGCAGCTGGTAGGATTATAACATTGCCTGAAACCAACACGGTTGCTGATGGGCTCCGAGCTTTTCTTGGAGATCTTACCTGGTAAGTACAATCTCATCAATGTCAATTGATGCTCTGAGAGGACTTTTTTACTTTGTCAACCGTTTGTTTCTTACATACTGAGAAATTTGCTTATGCGGTTGTTCTTATCTTGTATGTATTTGTTCATGACAGCTGTTACAGATACGTAGGACTGCATTTATACCTTTGGTTGTGTTTACCTTCATTTGTAAATCAATTTTCTTTTATTGATACCAACTTCCTTTCTATGCCTCTCTACTTTACTGTGCAGGCCAGTAGTAAGAGATTTTGTTGACGATGTTATTACTGTGGAAGACAAGCAGATAATCGAAGCCATGAGACTATGTTATGAGATTCTGAAGGTTGCCATAGAACCTAGTGGAGCCATAGGTCTTGCCGCTGTTTTATCGAACAGTTTCAGAAATAATCCCACTTGGCAAGATTGCAAAAATGTAGGAATTATACTTTCAGGAGGTAATGTTGATCTAGGTGTGCTTTGGGATTCATTCAGAAAGTGAAAGTTAAACGCCGAGTACATAGAAGATATCCTCCTTTGGCAATCAAACTTAAATCTTTCCATGATGAAACTAAATTGTTGTGGACAAGACAACTATTTTTAAACAGAAACAAGTTTGTAAGGTTGTATGCTAGCTGTCAATGTCCAGGAAGGAAATCTGATCTGCCATAGGCATCAGAAATGTCATGTCAAATGCTACCTTTGTGAAACAAAAATTTCATTCAGGAACTACTCTGATCCTACATTATGAAGCTCCCACTCTTTAAGCCTTGACTACCTTCACTGCCCAAATCAGATGACTGAGACCGAGACCAAGAAAGTAGCCAGCCGTCCACAAATAACGTAAGAACAACTTTCAGAATGCGGATTATCTACTTCATACCTACCAATTACCAACCAAACGTAAGATTTTAGCACAAGCCATTTGAGTACCTTGAAAGGTAAGGAAAATATATTAGAGTCGATTTTGCATCATTGTCAAAACCTCTTTTCAGTTTCTTTAATCTAAAAACTGATAAAAGTTGGCTACATATTGAATGTAAAATAGGTGTTAAAAACATAACATTTGTTTTGCAAAAGTTAATGATAGTTTAGAACATGTTTTCACTTTTTCTTTTTTTTAATCAGAAAATGATTCTTAAATTCTCAATATACAAGATTTTATTTTCATGTATAACTCCTGTGGCTGCGGTGCCTGAAAGTTGATTACTAGGCAGAAGATGTTAGAACTTAGAAGAGATCTGATAAAAGAAGACCTTTCTAATTAATAAAAGTGGAATTTCAGAGTAAGTCCACCTTAAAAGGAATTAATTAATTTAACAACAGATCATGACATAACAAAGCAGCAGTCAAAGCAGTACTCTATGAAATGTGGAGACAACAAAATCTTGAAAAAAAGATGCACACCCGGAAACCGGCAATGGACACTGCATCAACACCAACTCCACACAAGAAAATTGAAAAGAAAACTTATGACAATCCCAAATAAAATCAGAATAATTCCTTATATTCTACAAGCACACCAAGCCAGACTGAACTTCTCATTTAAGCCTCTTCCTGATACCCTTCCTCTTCCTCATCCTCATATTCACCTTCCTCCTCAGCTGTAGCATCCTGGTATTGCTGGTACTCTGAGACCAAATCATTCATGTTGCTCTCAGCCTCTGTGAACTCCATCTCGTCCATTCCCTCCCCAGTATACCAATGCAAGAAAGCCTTTCTCCGGAACATGGCAGTGAATTGCTCACTGACCCTTCTGAACATTTCTTGGATTGAAGTTGAATTTCCGATGAATGTAGAAGCCATCTTCAAGCCTGTTGGAGGGATGTCACAAACGGTGGACTTGACATTGTTGGGGATCCATTCAACGAAGTAGGATGAGTTCTTGTTCTGCACATTGATCATCTGCTCATCAACCTCTTTAGTACTCATCTTGCCACGGAACATGGCCGATGCTGTAAGGTATCGGCCATGGCGTGGATCAGCAGCACACATCATGTTCTTGGCATCCCACATTTGTTGGGTGAGTTCAGGGACAGTGAGGGCCCTGTATTGCTGAGAGCCACGGGATGTGAGAGGTGCAAAGCCAACCATGAAGAAGTGAAGCCGAGGAAATGGGATGAGATTTACAGCAAGTTTGCGAAGGTCTGAGTTGAGCTGACCAGGGAATCGAAGGCAGCATGTAACACCACTCATTGTAGCTGAAATCAGGTGGTTCAGATCCCCAACTGATCATATACAAAAGCATTTTGTTAGTCCCTGTAATTAACAAAAGGGGCTATCCATACTCTTCACAAATTCTTGCATAAAAGAAACAAGATCTGAACTTATCTACCAATCATACAGCTTAATTTGTTACCTAGACATTTAGAAATAGCAGAACCTAAATCATATAACTTGGTTTCTTTCTTGGCCAAAAATTCTGGAAGTGAGAACAGAAACTGTGCTCAGAATACTATCTGTGCATACAAAGTACATATCTGTCATGTGGGTCATAGTGAAATCATGAGTAAATCGACAAAACAATTTTTTGTCCCCAAATATGATGTATAAATCACAAAGACAATATGGTGCATAAAAGCCATCCGCAAATAAGTAAAGCAATGGCTGAACCATGTGTCTATCCTGTGTGACAAGCACCAGATGCCAATATAATTTATTTCTTAGACAAAAAGCTGCAGGAATTGAGACCCCATGTGAAATCACAACTGTACTAAGCTCAACTGCTCTGTCATAAAGATGAAAATCTAGATTCATACTGAATTTATAGCCAAAGTATATGAGAAGTGTTTAAAATTCACAATTTGTAAACATCATTGGACCATGAATTGATAGATCACATCAAAGGAACAATTATACTTTGTGCTTAGAAGAGCAATCTAGACATGCAAACTCCATACTTGTGGTAAGTAAAATTTCCACTCAAAAAAAAAAAAAAGCTCCACTTAACTCAGTCACAAGCAATTGATAATGAAGTAAAACTTACAACTGGGGGTGGTGAGCTTGAGAGTGCGAAAGCAGATATCATAGAGAGCCTCGTTGTCAAGAACCATACACTCATCAGCATTTTCCACAAGCTGATGAACAGAGAGCGTTGCATTGTAAGGCTCAACCACCGTATCCGAAACCTTCGGTGACGGAAACACCGAGAATGTCAGCATCATCCGATCCGGATACTCTTCCCTTATCTTTGATATCAACAGTGTCCCCATTCCGGAACCCGTTCCTCCTCCCAAAGAGTGACATACCTGAAACCCTGTAACCAAACAACCAAACAAAAATAAGAAACAATCCATAAACAGGAAAAAGAAATATAGAAACAAACTCCGAAAACAGAACTTCACCTTGCAAGCAATCACAATTCTCAGCTTCTTTGCGGACAACATCAAGAACAGAGTCGATCAGCTCAGCACCTTCCGTGTAATGCCCTTTAGCCCAGTTATTCCCGGCCCCGCTTTGTCCGAAAACAAAATTGTCGGGCCTGAAAATTGGCCCGTACGGCCCGGACCTGACGCTGTCCATCGTTCCGGGCTCCAAATCCATCAAAACAGCCCGGGGGACGAACCTGCCACAACTGGCTTCATTGTAATAAACATTGACTCGTTCAAGTTGGAGCTCGTTGGTGCCCTGGTAGCGTCCAGTTGAGTCTATCCCATGTTCTGCGCACACCACTTCCCAGAACTTGGCACCTATCTGGTTCCCACACTGCCCACCTTGAATGTGAAGGATTTCTCTCATTTTCTTAGTAGTTTTGATTTTTTTTTTTTTTTTCTCGGGAAAGTGAAGGAAAGTATGGGCAGGGAGATTGAAGAGTGAAGAGGGGATTTTATAATGGGATTGAAGAGAATGAGACTTCCTTGGTTTTTACTCTTGATGATGCGGTTGAGAGAGGTGGTTCCCACTAGAATGGAAAAAAGAAAGCTGTTAAATTGACATGACAGCTAGTGAGGTGCAGAGATTTCATCATGTGAGTGCAGACTTATCCATCAAAGTGAACCTTGGAATAAGCAAATTCCACACCCCCATTTGCTATGCTAAATATCATATTATATAATGATTGTAATTTATATATGTTTATATTGATGATATCTTGGCTTATGAAGCCTGTGTTCTGTGTCGCATAATTCTGGTTTGAATGGTTTTTACTTTTTTACTATTCAATAACTTAAAGTATAGATATAATTATCTCTGGATAATTAATGTTGATAAAATTTTTTTATTATTCTAAGGTTCTAAGTTCAAATCCTTCTTGATGTTAATAGGGATAGCCATAAGTTCTTACACGCGATAATTCTAAATCCCAGGAGATTAATTGAAGTTTGTACACTGTAGGACTAGATTGTTTTTTGAGGGTCTAAGATTAGAAGGAATGTTATTGGGGTTGCTTAAATATGTAGACAGTGTGGCAATGATTCGAAATTAAAAAATATCGGATTTTCGGTTCGAAAAAAAAAAAATGGTTAACCGAAACTGGTTTTACAAAAAAAAAAAAATATATATATATATATATAATAATAATAATAATAAAAATATATATTATATATTAAATAAAAAAAAATTCATTTCGGACTTTTATTTGTATCAATTTTTAATGTATTGTTAGTAGTAGTTAATAGATATGTATAAATATCTAATTTTTATTTGGATATGTATTGTTTATATTTACAATTTAATTTAGGAAAAAATTAAAAAAAAAAGTTTTATAAAAAAAAAGGGAAAACCAATTAACTGTTTTTTTTAAAGTGGTTAATCGGTTCGGTTTCGATTCAGGAATTCTTCTGAACTGAAAAACTAGTTCAATTCAGAAAAACGGTTAACCAACCAGTTAACCGCTTTTGAACATCCCTAATTAATATAAGATAGTAAATAAAACGGATTCGTAGTTACCCATTTGATGAGAATACATAATGAGCTATGATACTATTACTAATCCCTGAAATTAAATGTTGATAATTATGGAGTGGTCTTTTAGTTAGGCCATCTAATCACCTAGATTTACTTTACTCTCTTGTGACAAAGAAATGCTACCTATATCTTAATTTAATAAGTGACATTGGGTCAATGGTTACAATAATCATTAACTTTATCACCACCCTTCATTAATTAGAACATAACATAATATTTAAAGACAAAATATTGAACCAATATAACCCAAATTTGGATCATTAACTTAAGTGTGTGGACATTATACACTCAAAAAAACCCAATGAGTAATTCCTCAAATATTGACCTCGAAAATTTTTCTAGTTCCCCCTAAGTTTCGGCCTCCTTGAAATTTCCACCTCTCGTATCCCCAAAAGACAAGGATCTTCTTTCTCTTTTTTACTTGCATATCTTTCATTTTGTGTCTCTTGCCCCTACCTATTCCCTTTTCCCTTCTTCCTTTTTGCAATTCTCAATCTCCCATCTGTCGTTAGTGGCAAAATGGTATGCATTTTTTTTCTCTTTTATTTCTTTCACGTACCTAAGATTATATAATTTGTATTATCATCGCAAATTGCATGGTTGGTTAGAAATGTTAGTTGTATCAACCCTTTTGACATTTTTGTAAACGGCTTGAATGATTTGAAAGGGATATGTTCCGATGCCAAATGGGTTAAAAGAAGTTATCTATTTGGATTAAAATGCCCAGTTTTTACCAAGGATTTGTCTGTTTGTGTTTGGATATATATATATATATGTTGTTGATTGAATAAGATATTATCGTTTGATTTGATGCATTTAACGCCAGATAATCTTCGCTGCCAAATTAGGTTACAGATTTTATATTGTCAAGTAGTTGAAACACCATTGAAGCCCACTTTGTTAATGACTTGATGTTGAATGGTTGATGAAATATATCCATATGTTATTTAGGAAAAAACACAAGAATGAATGATGATGAGAATGTTAATGTTAATGTAAATGCAGGCAAATTCCTCTTCTGGAATGGCTGTGAATGATGATTGTAAGCTGAAGTTCATGGAACTAAAAGCAAAGAGGAGCTACAGGTTCATTGTGTTCAAAATAGAAGAAAAGATTCAACAAGTGATGGTTGAGAAGCTGGGAGAACCAAATGAAAGCTACGAGCATTTCACTGACAGTTTGCCTGCTAATGAGTGTCGCTATGCTGTCTATGATTTTGATTTCACTACTGAAGAGAATGTTCAAAAGAGCAAGATTTTCTTCATTGCATGGTACTCAATCAAATATATGTAATTTATTAAATGATCCATTCAATCCCATTTTCTAATTTTGATTGTTAAAAATGGGCTTGCAGGGCACCTGATACATCAAGAATAAGGAGTAAAATGCTGTATGCTAGTTCAAAAGACAGATTCAGGAGAGAACTGGATGGTGTTCAAGTTGAGTTACAAGCCACTGATCCGAGTGAGATGAGCATGGACATCATCAAATCACGAGTTTTCTAAGCAATTCAACAAACACATCTCCTTCATTCTTCATGTTTTATTTCATCTTCTTTAAGTTGCCATTCATCATGAGCCTTCTAACTCTTGTTTGTTACAGTTTACACATTCTTTTTTGTAAGCTTCAAGCCTTAAACATTTTGCTGCTTTAATGGCCGGCTCTCTATTTATGCAATTGATTCAAGGCTTGATTAATTCATTTTTACAACAACGTTCTACTTTGTTCAGTAGGGATTTTAACCCCATTTTTTTGCCTTTTAATTTTTGCTACTTTGTAATTCTTGTTATTTATCAACCAAAGCTTGTTAAGGGGAAAAAATATTTATTAAACTTTTAAGTTTTCTCATAACTATCAGAAATTTATAGTTTTGTTTTCCTTTTCTTCCATTTTCTTGGAAAAGACAAGAATAAAGGGAGAAAAAATTTGTAAACAAACAATGTCGTAGTAATAAAGATAAATTGAAGACGACATCGCTGCATTTGTCACTTCTGCATCAATGGGAACGACATCGTTTCACCTGTTGTCCATCTTCCAAACCGTTTTAGGGTTTAACAAATAGACTCTCATCTCATTTCCTTCTACATCATAATCTTAACAATGGAGGAGAGCAACATAGTGAAAACACAACCGCCACAAGGCGCACAAAAACAAAGAACTAAACGATACCGTCAAACCAACTCTTAACTGGAAAATGCAAGTCCATGGCTGTTGTTGATGCCAATGCTTGACTTGATAACAATATCATTATAGTTTACTCCAATACCTCGACAAAAAGGATATATATTTCTTATATATCATAATAAATAAGAATTTAAATTCACCTAGTCCTAATTAAATCAATGGGAGGAGTACTGACAATTGAACAGTTTTACATGTTTCTAATGTTGATGAACTAATTGGTTAAACATTTAAAGCAAATTTTCAGCATGAATCATTTTTTAGCATGAAATCTGAGCCTTCATACATTTTTTTTTCTTTTTTAGCTGTAGTGAATTGCAAAATCATAGAAATTTCATGGAGAATATTAGTCATACTAATTACTGTAAAGAATTAAGTATGTATACTTGTATTGTAATTAGTATATGTACGTGGCTTCTTTATCAGCATACTGTCTCACGCACTTAACTTCTTTGCTAAGTTCGTGCGGCCTAAGTTAACTTAGCTCTTAAGTCTGCTTCACCCTGAAGTATACTTAATCAGTAAGCAACGTGCAGCATGCTTGGGCAAACAGGCTGGTCGTGACAATACGCTCATGTTATTGAGGGGGGGGGGGGGATGGGGGAACTGTTACTGGGCCCTAGGCCCATATAAATCTTGTGCTGGGCCTGGCCCAGTCTGGGAGTCGTGGGTATTGTGTATGAACCGGTCTTAAAATATATGGGCTTATAGTTTAATAGTAATTTTCATAAAAATATTTGATAGTGTTTCTTTTCTTTTTTTTTTTTTTAATATCAATTAAGTGTTTCTTTAGTCTTTTTCGGAGGAATGAAAAAAAAGAAAAAGAAAAAGAAAAAAAAAAGGCCATATTTTGTTTTAAAAGATAATTGAGGACGAGATGAAACGACATCGTACCACTTGTCTTTCCTTTTCCAAAACATTTTAGGGTTTAACAAACAGTATATAGTGTAAACTCTCATCTTCTCCGCTACCGCTCTCTAACCCTAACAATGGAGGAATCAGCTGCGAAGTGGAGCAACATAGTGAGAACACAACCGCCAACAGGCACTGAAACGAAGAAGCAAACGATACCAGCAAACCAATTCTTAACCGAAAGCTGCAAGTCCACCCATGGAATATCCGTCGCTGTTGTTGACGCCAATGCAATCATTCAAGGCGGTCACAATCTTTCCAATTTCGCTGAAAAATTCGTCACCGTTTCCGAAGTCTTGGCTGAAATTCGCGACCCCGTTTCCCGCCACCGCCTTAGTTTCACTCCCTTCGCTATCGAGTCCATGGAGCCCTCCCCTGAGTCACTCAACAAAGGCAAGCACTAATCAATCTGTAATATTTGTTTTTGTGACATAAATTGTTGTCTGTTTGTATAGAAATTAAATATAGTTTTCAATTTTAGAAAAAAAATATACAAGAAATCATATGAAACGCTATGTTTTACAGAATAGTTGTCAGATTAATTTTTTTTTTTTTTTTTTTTTCCTCAATGCGAACCATTTCTGAATATGTTATCGAAAACATTTTAAGATATTAAAATTATTGAGATACAATTTAAGCTTTTAAATGTGTCTTAGTTTTAAAAAGTTATTTTATGATCACAAAGCAAATGGCCCTTAAATAGCATGAACTGGATCATATGGTTTGCAAAGTAAATTTGCTTATTGTTTGTGGTTTATGTTAATAGTTATAAAGTTTGCGAGGGCGACGGGTGATTTGCAGACACTTTCTGATGTTGATTTGAAATTGATTGCTCTGACTTATACGCTGGAGGCTCAGATGCATGGAACTAAGCATCTGAGGGATGCACCACCCCCGGTTCATACAGTAAATGTGAAGAGATTGCCTGAAAAGGATATGCCAGGTTGGGGATCTAATGTTACCAATATAGAAGAGTGGGAAGCGCTGGATAATGATGTTGAGGATAAATTAAATGCTGACTCAAGAATCCTTCCATTGAAAGACTTGAATCTGAATATCATCGGTGCTGATGATCAGTCTGAAAATGGTTCTGTGGGAACTCAAGGTGAAGCTCATTCTGAAAATCAAGAGGATGGCGACCATGGTTTGAGGAGACCTAGGAGATATTTGCCGAAGAAGAAAGAGATAAATATTGAAGGCAAGAAGATGGTGGCAGATGGAATTGATGCGTCTCAAGGACAATTTGATGATGATGCTGGTGATTGGATGCCTGCTGTCAGCCGAAGTACTCATAGAAGATATCTCAGAAGAAAAGCTAGACGTGAATATTATGGGGCCTTGTCTGAGAAAGATAGTCAGCAAGAAATGGAGATGAATAATAATGATAGCAAAAATCTTGAGGAAACTAGTAATGCAGATCAGCAGTTGCATCAGGGCTCTGAAGGGGCACATGGAGTTAATGGGATTTCTGAGGAGAGTGGCAGTGAAGAAATTTCCTCTATTTTAAAGCAAATGAGGCTTGAAGAAGATTCATTGAAGTCAATTCAGGAAGAGAAAGATGAAGATGTTTCTTCTGCTAGGCTTGATTCGGACAGTTCCCCAGTATTGGAAGCAACATGTGATGTTGATGCAAATATGATTGGTGAAGCAGATGAAGTTGATAGTGTCAATGAAGAGTTAAATCAATTGGAGTTTTCAAGCCAGACTAATGAAACTGTTGATACTTCCCATATGGATGATGCTAGCAGTGAGCAGAGTTGGATGTTGAGATCCTTATCTGAGTCAAGTGTAGCTTGCATAACTGGTGACTTTGCTATGCAAAATGTTCTTCTGCAGATGGGTTTACGCCTGCTTGCACCTGGAGGAATGCAGATTCGCCAGTTGCATAGGTATACTGTTGATGCATATATTCTTACTTCTAACTACTGATGACATCTTCAGTCATATTATACACCTTGTTAAGCCCTTTCCTATATAAGCTTGATGCTTAATGCCTGTATCGAAATTATGCCTTTTGATAAATTAATGAAACATTTATTATCGAGTAGGTTTTGCATGTTTCCCTCCCCGCATTTGATTATGAAATATCTTATCAGAGTATATATTTCTCTTGACTGTCTTTATTTGCAGGTGGATATTGAAATGCCATGCCTGCTATACCGTCACTGCTGAAATTGGGAGGATTTTCTGCCCCAAGTGTGGAAATGGTGGCACTTTACGTAAGGTAGCTGTAACAGTTGGGGAAAATGGAATCGTGTTGGCAGCTCGTCGCCCACGCATTACACTGCGTGGTACAAAAGTATGTATACCTTTACAACCAACTTGCAGCAATGACTATGGTTGCTTTGTACTGTGATTTTGTTAATTTACTTTCAGTTAAAAATTGAGTCTTGTGGGCCTTTTATTTATTTTATATACCATGTCGATATTGTGGTTTGGTATCAATATGCAGGTCTACCGTCTACATGCACGGTTGTGCACTCATAAGTGTGTTCTTGTGTGTGTGTTTTATTTTTCTAGAATTTATTTTTAACCATTATCACCCAAATGTAACTTTAAATTTGGGTTTGTACAGTTTTCTCTGCCTTTGCCTCAAGGTGGAAGGGATGCTATTACCAAAAACCTCATTTTACGTGAAGATCAACTTCCACAAAAGTTCCTTTATCCTAAGACAAAGAAGAAAGTGAACAAACAGGTAAATTTATTAATTATTATTTTCACTATTGTGTTTATTTTCTGTTTGAGCTCCACTTATTTTCGCATCTGATAAAATCAAGTTTTTGGGTTGAAATTACCTTGACATTGATCTTTATTTCATCATCCAGGGAGATGAATTCTTCACCTCTGATGATATCTTTAGTCACCATAATGATAAAAGAGCTCCTCTCCAACCTCCCATAAGAAAGGCATTAGCAGTTTTCAGTGGAAAGAGGAATCCAAATGACAATCATTACTCCCGTACCATGCACTAGTGACTTTGGCTTAATTTTTGTTTTGTTTATAAGATTTTGGTAATTGGTTTGATAAGTTCTGTGTTAGCCAATTGCATTTTATGTCTCCACCTATAATGAGTGTATTATAAAAAAAATTTGCTGAAAAAAATTGATAGCAATTCTGGTTTTATGATGGTGTTCTTGTTATGGTTGGCCTAGATGAAGTAAATGTCTGAGTTCTGGTTACCCTAGAATGGTCGGAAATGTTTCTCTCAAAAATGGGTATTGAGAGGACATTGCCCTCATCATTTCTCGGTGGATCGTATGCTTATTAGGTGTGCCAATGAATAGAACAACTACCATAAGGAATATTTGAAAAACCAATTTAGAAACTAAAGTCATTTGGTGTTGTTAAGGAGCAAGCAGGATTGGAACCTGAAATAACCTTCCAATTCCATGAACATTTATGGGAAAATTGTTATTGAGTGAACAAAAGACACCACTTGGTTTGTTCAATTGGGCCTGGAATTCCTTCACCATCGCCAAATGGAATAAAATGTGGAGTTTCCTTCAATTTTTGACCATATGTTTACCTGTCACATCTTGCAGGTTTTAAATAAGTATCTAAAGCACATTAAATGAGAAATTTTACTATCATTCCAGAGAATATTGGAATAAGTCAGTGTAAGAGAGTTACAGCTAGGGGTGATAGAACCAAAGCCCGCCCCATTAGCATCCAGTTCCAGTTCTGAAAAATTGGAATCGAGAATTCTCAAGTTAGGTTCCAATTCTTGTAGTGTTGGAACCAGAACAAGAACCAAGGTCTAGATACCCAGGTCGGAACTGAGACTAAATTATAATTTTTGTAAACTGCAAGATACCCGAAACCGATCACACTTATAGCCCCACAAGCACTTAAACACGATTAGGTATGTTATGATCTTTAAAACATCCACTCGCTGAGGCGCAAACGAATTCGAAAATCCATTATCTTTTTAGTATCATCAAGACTATGATACAAGTAGCTTCAGTTTTCCTGAGTTTGATCAAATACAAACATTTTTATAATTGCATATAAAAGACCAAGTCTTCCATATGAATATAGCCCCAAAATAAAATTAACAGTGTCATTTTCTGAATAACCACCCATATAAAAATAGCAAATGCAATACAAGTTAATACTTCATTAGCAAGAACTAGATTTACTATTTCGTGATTTCAGAACTTTACTGATTATCCCAAGGTATACAGAGTGTACGTTGTCATCCACCAAGCTCTATGTTTCTTTAACATGCACCATTTACAAAGATCGATGAGAGAGAGATAAAAGAAAAAAAAATTAGAGAACAAAAAGGAAAAATGAGTAATACAATTGTATATATCTAATCTACCGTATGTTAGCTTCAACTCAATCATGATGAAAGTGCAAGCTCAGCCCACGCCAAAGACGATGCTTTCAGCTCTACCGATATAGACGTGTCAATTCCGCTCTCCAAGGTGGAGCTTAATTCCTGCATAGATGGCCTCTTGCTGGGGTCTGGGTTGAGGCACATGTTTACTACTTCACAGATGACTTTGAGGTCATCATAACTAAAATGTTTCAACTCAGGATCCACCACGTACGACATTACTTCTGGCAATTCAAGATAATCCTTAGCCTGCAGAATATACAGTTTTATGTTTTTTTTTTTTTTCCAAAATTAGCATCAGAACTAATACTTTCAAAATAAACTTGAAAGAAAATATCGCAAATGTTTAAAAATTCCAGAGTTACATACCCAATCTACTAAGCTCCCTTTGTCCTTACAGTAAGGCGGCCTTCCACTGATTATTTCCAGTAAAAGTACACCAAGAGCATAGATGTTGCCTTGGACATCCAGATGGCGTTCCTCAAGAGAATTCGGAAGTACACAGATAGAACCTTGGCTGCCAATAGTGCCAGAGTTCTTCTCTGATCTTGCAAGAATTGTCTTCCAACTTTCAAAATCAACCAACTGCAGTAGGAGTTAAAAGATGCTCTTAGAAACGGGATATTCATGCACTTAAAAATGTTAATTTCTGATTGTTAATTTCTGACAGTATGCAAATTGGAGCAAGACAAGAATACCTTAGGTGAAAAATCATCCGTAAGATACACAGCACTCGAATTCAACTCTGATATGGTAAATGGAGGGTCAAGTTCTGTGTGAAGATACTTGAGTCCACGGGCAATTCCTATAACAATTTTCATTCGCCGTGTCCAAGATAATTGACATTCTTCTCCATCTGCAGCCATTTTTATTACTTAGCCATGAACTGATGGAATATGATAAAGAAACTAGTTTTAAATAAATAAATAAATCTAACTTACAATGGAGATGCTCATACAGTGTCCCATTTGATGCATATTCAAAAACCAGCATTCTTGCAAATGGAGCACTCTCTCTACAATAACCCAGTAACTTCCCTGTATTCTCGTGATTTAACCTTGCCAAATCTGCCACCTGAAAAGCAATAACTGGAAAATTTTAGAGATTATTTGTTCCCAGTTTATCTCCCTTTACACTGAAAACACGTTGCTGTGAAATGTGTGCAATTACCTCTCTCTGGAAATAGAGCTCCAGATAACCTGACCAGTGCTCTTCTTTAATACAGAGGGATATTACAGCAATTTCAGGCCCACCTTTCATGTTGCCTTTGTAGACCAAACTATCTGGTGAAGAGCCAATTATGTTGCTGAAGTCTTCACAGGCTACTTCAAGCTCTTGTCTGCTGAATCTCACAACGTCTTTCAAGATCTCAGAATCTATACAACAACCCACCATGTCAGCTAATATCTTGTCTAAAGTAATAAACTACTAAACTAGTGAAGCAGAAATATTTAATGGCAAGTAGCCCAACCTATGAACACTGTTATATGATCCTTCTCACTAGCTGATTTCTTCCAAGGGATTATAATTGAAGATTTGCTATTGCATCTCTGAAGTGCAGTGAGAATAGCAATAAGAAAGAGAGAGCCCACCATGGTTCCTGTCACTATTTCAAGAGCCAAAAGCCAGGTAGGTTTTGATGATGCCTGATGTCTGGATACTTCTTCAGCAGGCCGGCGTTTAGAATTGTATGCGGAATGAGTTTTTGCAGGTGGAGCACCACCTATGAAAGGAACTTTATGACAATTAGATACTTCAAGTAATATAAGTTTATACAAGAGCCAGTATTAGAAAGTTCAACTGGAGAACAGGCTGATGAAAAATCCAAATTAAATAAATAAACCATTAACATAAACACTTTCCACTACAGAACTGACATTAGCATTTCAGCATCTGTGGATGAAAATCTAATGTCACATTAGGAGATTGTAAAATTCAGTCCAGTAAATTCACTTTAACCGAGTACATCATAGACAAAAGTACACCTTTATACAACTTGAAGGCATGGCCTCACTTAACAAGAAAGTCTTTGTTGAACATTAAAATTTCTACATGCATGCTATCACACTTAATGGTTCATCAGGACAATCAACTGTAAGCACAAGTCAAACATACCACATAACACAGCAGCACGCTGTTTGGCATCTTTGTTCTGGAGGCAGTTCCCCTGAAAGCTTGTACTACATAAAACAAATTGAGATAAGGTAAGCTTAATGAAAGAAAGAAAGAAAAAGAAACCAGCATGACAAAGGCACAGAAGCAGTACCTCGGAAGATACCCCAAGCACTTTGGTATGCTCCCGACAAAGAAGTTATAGGAGAAATCTGCCACTTTTAACTGAGATGAGCGACACAAGCCAGTTAAGTTTGCACTTGAGGCATACCTGAAAGCAGAAAGGAATTACAAGAAAAATAATTAACAATATCAGAACCATTCAACATGGTTTAGTGTAATGTTATTTCCACCCTAGGATGAACTGCAGATTTCTAGAGCTTTTTCACCTAATTAACTTACACAACTTCATTACACTGACATATATCCGACTAATACCTATATCATTTATCAACAGAACTGATTCATTTCCATAGTAGAGGTTGCAAGATCCAGTGCCAAAACTCTACATGATATGTAAAACTGAGAAAGTATGAGAAGAAAGCCAAAAGCATTTTGTATATTAGCATACCCATGTCTAAACCAGTAAGCACTAAGGTATTATATACTTGGCCATCTTTAGTAGTTCTCAATATCATAGCCCTACATCCAATCTAAAAGGTCAAAGGTGCCAAACATGAGACTATCTTGCATATCCAAGAGTTCAACAACTGTTCATGGCAAATATAGGTAATGCCCCTCATGTTTTGTAAGATCAGTTTATCACCTAATCTCAAATTGCAATGGTAACCACGAAATTTAATGAAGACAAGAATCATTTACTTACATTCCATGTACACTAGATGTAAAATCTGAATTGCCACCAGCGGGGAAAGTTCCTTGGAGCTTATTCCTATCCAAACGAAGTTCCTGGAGATAAATCAAATTGCCTAACTCAGGAGGCAGTCTCCCAGTCAACCCATTTGACTGAAGGTTTCTGTAACAAAAGTAAATTGTAGAAGTTAAAAACCATGGAGAGCCAAGAATTTAAGGCAATTCTGGGGCAACAACTATTAAATTTCATTCACATTTTCACCAAACTAGTTAACTTCCCGAGCTCCGGTGGAATTGGACCCGTAATCTGATTCATCCCCAAATCCAAAACTCTTAGGTGTTTCAACATGCCCAGTTCTTTAGGTATTATGCCAATCAGATTATTCCCATGCAAAATCCTACAAAATAAAACTTGATGTCAAACTTCAATCATGCATCAAAGTATCATAGTTTAAGCATACGATCAAATTTAAAAACTAAAAAAAAGAAAAAAAAAGCATACAGCTCTTGCAAGTAAGTGATTTGAAACAATTCTGGTGCAAGGAACCCCCTCAAAGATGATCCAGAGATGTTTCTACAAAACAAAATTCCAAATCCAAAAAAATGTTAAAAGGCATGATACATCTAAAAATGCAATCATCTGATTATATGTGTTTGCAAAATAATGAAGTGAATTAAAGAATAGCTTACATCTTTGAAACATGGTCTCTAGCCAAAGTACAAGAAATGCCAGACCAATCACAAGGATCTGCATCTAGTGAATTCCAATTGGACAAAACCCTTTTTGGGTCTTCATATATAGCTTCCTTAAATGTTGTGAGAGCCAAAACTAAGGAAATCCAAAAGTTCCCAGTTAGCAATAGTAAAGTTTAAGATAAGCTCCAAAACTCGGCGATTTGAATGGTAGATTATCATATCTTCAATAATAACAATAATGCATTGTTTGATCACCAAGAAAATGCGGGAAAATATAAACAATTATACAAATTTTTGTACTTCGAAATCAACATCTATTAGAAAATGGTCAAATCTTAGCATCATAATAGTAAATAAAACATCAAAAAGGACAATGTTGACAATACAAGTTTCCCATCTTTTCCCGAAGTTTCTCAGCAACCAAACAGAACTTAAAAGAGTCAAGATCTGAGACAAACAAGTTGAGTATATAGATGAAACATTACCTTCATTTGTTGCAAAGGCATCACAGGTCACAAAAAGAACTCCAGAGACAAAAAAGAGAAGCTCAAGTGATCTCATTTCCAGTTCAAGATTCTACACTCTTTATCAATCAGTTTTCATCAATAAACCACAAGACTCAAAACAAGAAGTCATTAAAAGTAACCCCACAAAATAAAAATAAATTAAAAAAAAAAGGAGGGGGGGGAACCAAAAGGGAAAGAAAGAAAGAAAGAAAGAAACTACACTAAAGTAGAACACCGACTACTGTAATCTACTAAAATGGGGTTTGGTTTGTGAACAAAGTACCAGTTAGCAAAAGGAAAAGATAAAAACTTTAATACAGTACAAGTGAGTTTAAATCCAAGATTTGGCAACTACCCATGAAAGCAAATCACTTGAAAGGGTAGACAAAAATTGTTGTAGTACAGTAGATATGTCAAGTTAAAAGTAGTTGTGGTGAGAGAAACTTAGATTCAAAGAGAGGTTTTGCAACTAAGAATCTTCTTCTTCTACAAAATAAAAATCAGTAGGATGATAATTAAACCATTAAAATGGAAGAGAATGTTGTGCTTTTGTTCTGTGCGTTTTTTTTTCAATTAAAAATGGCGGTTGTGGTTTTTGGGTAATTAGTGGCATATTAGGGCCTTAATTGGATCTTTTACTTCCTAATCATTGCATTAACAGAGTGGCTGAGTTGTTTGTTTAATCTCGTGATATGAGAATTTCACATCTCGCACTCGCTTGTTGTGATTGTCTACGAGGTGGAGCAGATTAAGACCATTGGCGGAAAGTATCATTCTTGTGATGTGTGGTTAAGAGTGGATGAAAGTATGTTGAAGAAGTTTGCTTACAACCGTTGGATGATGCTCAAAACGGATAATGGATGATTAGATTTATTTATTTTGATAAACCTCTAATTAATTCAAGCTAATTAACATAATTAACTGATGGATTGATGAGAATTTTTTTTTTTTTTAATGATTGGAAGTGTCCAGACCAGCTTACGCGTACCTCAATTAATTCTTCGAGACCCTAGAACTACCGATCAAGTAAGAACTTTAGTGTCTAATGTTTTAAAACCCAAGCCGGGGTGCAACCTGGCAAAGTGATCAGGTTTCGGGTTGACCGGTTTAACCAGTTTGATCAAACGGTCAAACCGGTGTCCAAATGTTGAAATCTAACAAAAATACCCTCAAAATCATGTAAGTCATTATAGGTTTAAAATCTTACAAAAATACCCCAAACACCACCATCGGTATTGGAAAAAAGGGTTTGTTTCTGGCTACGACAACACTCTCTATCACCACGAAAACACTCCCCTTAGCCTCCTAACCAAAACTCATCTCACCCCTCCCCTATCCTATTCGCCTCCCCAATCACCAGCAACAGCGAGATTTTTCCAACAATGTTGTTTTGCAATTTCCAATTGATTTACTCACGGGAAATCGACATCGTTGCCACCATTGCACTCATTGGCAATTTCTCTTCAAAAGTCTTAATATTTAAGCCTTCAATTGTTCACGGATTGATGTCCTAATTTCTAGGGTTTTAAATAAATAGAAAAATTTGTAACTCGACCCAGTGAAAACTCCGAGTCCTGGTTAAACTTATTTAACCAATCGGGCCGGGCCGAGTTTTAAAACACATTTAGTGGCTTCTCCTATTAGCAACAAATGAAAAATTCAAACTTAGGATTTCTTAAATAATACACCCGATAATACCTATCGAAACACTGATGGGATATTGTGACTTCAGTTTTTAACTTAATTTTTTATAACCACTTGCTCTGTTAACAAACATATACAACGTGACAACATTTATTAATATACAGTGTGGCCAAATCATATCAATTTTTTTTTTTTTGTACTACTTTATTTTTCTTCTCTCTTATCTTAGACTTGATCATAACAACAAAATTATGATCAAACGTTTGATCTTCGTCAAAATCTAACTAGAGGGTAAAAATATTAAGACGGATTACAAATCTAAAATCTAAGGTTGACTTGCAAACTAGATTAATAAAATCTTAGATCTGATCAAGATTTGATCTTTGTAAGGATATCTTGGTCTTTTGTATTTATAATATTAATTAACTGTGTTCACCTTAATATATAAAGGTAAATATGTGATTTCTGGAAATTCACTAGATTATGTTTATTTTTTTAAATGAAAATATTATTTTAGAAACTTCAAAGGGTTAAGAGTATAATTGTAGTACTTATTTTTATTTAATCTAATAATTATGTTCTGGATATAAACAATTACTATCACCATCATACATGACAAGGAATTATTGATTTGAGAATAAAAAATATTCTTCTGATTTTCCAATTATAGAAAAGAATAATACATATTTAGGCTTCGTTTGGTTCACAATTTTGTGTTTTTGGGAAAAGTTTTTTGAAAAAAATTGAAAAAAAAGTTGAATTGGGCGGGTATTACGATGTAGGATTTACAAATTTAAAATACCCTCTATGTTTATTTTTTTACAAAACACCCCTTATAATAAAACATTAAAAGTTAACAAAAATACCCCCAATCCACCCTCAAATACGGACAGCCGGCCACCACCACCGGAGGGTGGCTAGAGTCGCCGTAACAAAAACATTAAAAATATTTAGGGGTATTTAATTGAATTAACAAATTTAGGGGGTTTAAAAAATATTGAATAATATTATGAGTCTTTGGGTATTTTACTATTTAACTTTTTTGAAAATACTAAAAGTAGTATTCCCAAAATCCAACCAAACGAAAGCTTTAGAATTTAATTTATGTTTTATGTTAGCATCAGTGAAGCCAAGGACTATTCCGGTATTAGCGCCGTTAAACATGTGACGTCGCCGTACCTCACCTTAACCCCCTCTTCTTAATCATTAGTTGTTCACGATATAAGAATAAAAATCGTCCTCAAAATATCACGATACGAAACAGTTATACTAAATGAAGCAGTTAGAGTTAGAGAAACAGCTGTCATTAAATACTCAAATTGAATGCAGTCCATTGACCAAATTACCCCTTCTCTTCACTCCACTTAATCCTCCTCCTAAAAGATGATGTGATTAATGAAGAGTTGTGTTAAGACAATCAACCTTCAAACTTTGAATGCTTTTCATACTCTGTCGTTTTAGTGGCTCCAGTAAGGACCCTTCTTTTTGAAAAAAAGGTTAAATTTCCTCTCAAGTTCAACATTTACAGTTGTTATCCATGAGAGGAGAATATGAATATGTTAGCATGTGAAGAATCAAATATACAAATTCAATGTCTTATATATGCAACCACTACAGCTACTTGATAATATTTATTTATTAATTAATGGATTTTTAAAGCTATAGTGAGGAAAGGACCAAACAGATAAGATTGCATGTACTTAGATAGATATATGTAACAAAAAAACTATTCCGTTTGTTTAATTATTTTTCTCTATCCTATTAATACTATTTCCAAAATACATGTTTATTTTGCTGTTCTGAAAATACTATTATATTTTATTTAATATTTTTTAAACCCCCTAATTTTATTAATTTAACTAAACATCCCCCAAAAAAAGTTTAGAAATTAACAAAAACACCTCCACCTACCCATATTTGCCAGATTCTGACCACCATCATCGGAAGGTGGCTGGAATATGGTATAATAGCGCACTAACGACTGGATCCGACCGCTAATGTGCCAATCTATCATTTACCGACCAGATCTACGACTAGATCTTTGGTCGTAGCTGGTCTTCAACGATGGCCAAGACATAGCCGTCGTTGACCATCAACAAAGGCCAAGATATGGCCGTCATTGACCATCAACGACAGCCATATCTTTGGTCATTGTTGACGGCCAAATATGGCTACCAGATCCACGGTGGGTTTAGCTAGAAAAGGTCATCTTAGTGCATAATCAGCCAGATTCCTGTCAGATTCCTGCGGTCGTGCGCCGTAATGCCAGATTCCGACGGTGGTGGCCAGAATCTGGCAACTATGTGTGGTGGGGGTGTTTTTATGATTTTATAAAATTTTTATATATTGGGGTGTTAAGTTAAATTAACAAACCTAAGAGGTTTTTTTGTTAATTTTTAAATTCTAGCTCGTAATAATCACCGAATTCTACCTACCAATAATATTTCAAAAATATAATTCAAAATAATAAAACAAACATACTAATAAAATAAATAAATGCATATGATTAAAGGGACAAGCAGTTAAATGATATTTAAAAAAAATAATAATTTAGGGTTTGCCTTTTCTGGTTTGGCATGAACTCAAACACAATATATTATATTGGGGGGGTGACAGAGACATAAAGATTGTTTAAGCATCAAGGTTCCTTCATCACAATGCTTCCAAGCAAATGCTAAGTATTGAGTTTTGAGTATTTTCAAAGGGAAGGGGAGCCTCAGCATCATCATATTTTAGAATGGACACGTGTCAACAATGTATTGGGTTCTGTGATATAAGAAGAGAAGTTGGTTGGGCCTTTTCACGGTTCCTATTTAAAAAGCCCATCTATATTAATGTCTAAAACGGAAGGAAGGACGGAGTCATTAACACTCTCCATGTGCTTCCTCTTATAAGGACCCACTCTGTCTCTTTACATGTATCAATTCTTAAAAAAGAGAAAGAAAAAAGGGGCCCCCATGTTTTTTTTTTTTTTTTTTAAATTTATTTATTGTTGTTTTAGGTTTATGCATTAATTTAATCCTTTTCACATCATACTATAATTTCTTCTTTTTCCTAGGTTAATTTCATTTGTCTTATTAGAGATAACTAAGTCTTAAAACTCTCAAAGATTTAAAAAAAATATTAAATGCACAATTATGATAGGTACATTTCTTGCGACTCGAATACAAGAAATTTAAGTATAACTAACTCGAATGACTGAAAAACTTATTATCCGACCACAAAAGAAGAGATATTGATTTACATACTTGTGATAATATTTTTAATGAAATTCAATATTTAAAAAAAAAAAAAAATTTAAAGGAAAGTTTGGTATTGGGTTATAGAAAAGTCAATATTAATTATCATAATCGCTAAAGATTAAGGAACCATTAGAGCCCCACAAAACTTTGAAGCCAAAATGCTTGATGAGTGGCAGCTTATTTAAATTGTACATTACATGTGTAATAATAATGGTTAATGTGGGATTAATCCAAAAGGATTAGATAAGGTGTCTTATTCACCATCAAAGTGAAGAATTCCTCCAAAATTTAATCGGTAATGGTAGGGACAGAAGAAGTAACGTATTAAAAAATCATGTTATGAATGACACTTAACCAAGTTGATGTTACATGTTCTGATTCTCCTAACATGCCTTACAAATAATTCATGTCTCCTTTTGCTTCTAATTTATTAATCATAATCATTTTCAATAATTACCTTTTGTAATTCTAGTGTTGCCAAACGAATCAACATTCAACTCCTCAACTAATTCACGGTTGGCCCAATCTAACCATGCTTCATTTGCCTTTATTAGTTTTATTTTAGTCTTTATCCGTTATATGAGATTCTCAAATCCGCAAAGAGGTTAGTCGTTGGTTATACTACGTGTATTTTCTAAATCAATCAAAGAATGAGTTAGACTAGTAAATAATGATATTCGCGTGACGAGAGTGTTACGTGATTGGATGAGAAAGAACGTTACGATCTCGTAACCTGAAATGGTACTTTTCTGATTTTTATAACTGAGATTATATAATGATATTTGATTAGTGATTTTACAAGTTCTACATGTGTTGTTGATTTAATCTCTGTTTTAAAAACCAGACTAGACCGCCCGATAAGACCGGTCGGACTGGGACCCGGTAGCTTCTTCGGTCTAGTTTAGGTCTTAGGGGGTTTTTGTAATATTTTAAAATTATAAGGATTAATTTGTAATTTTATAGGGTTGTTTTGAAGATATGTCAAAAGTTTAAGGATTAATTGATAATTTTTTAGGGTATTTTTGAAATAAATAAAAATTTTAGGGATTAATTTGAACTTTTTAAGAGAATTTTTGTAATATATTAAAATTTAAGAGATTAATAAAATTTTTTAAAAATAAAATTATCCCTGACGTCATCGGTCCAACTGGTTGGACCGGTTGACTCGTGACCCAGGCAGCAAAATGGGTTACCCTCTGGTCTGGGTTTTAAAACAATGGATTTAATAACAAACCTGCAACTGTATGCATAATTTATAGCACCGAAATCATATTTAGATTGGCCATGGTTTGAGATCCTTTTCATTAATTGTGAAACCAATCAAGATCTTCTACACCATGAGTTTAAAAAAATCATGTGATGGGTCAACCGTGACATAGACACAAAGCTAATTACTCTATGGAAAATTAGGTGACGAGCTGGCCACATCCTGCCGGTGGTCCAAAATCCGCATGGGTTAGCTAAATTTTACTATAAAATCATGGTTAAGAGCTAAGTCCAGCCCATGGTTGTGATACTTTGTCTCCTTCACAGCCTCTATGATTCCAAGCCCAAGAATTACCTTCGTTTATGAACCACAATGGAGATTGCTCTGGCTTATTCATATGAATAAACATCTATTGATCATATATTAGTATATCATTCTGTGCTTTAGCTGCTTAGCATCTTGCTGTTGGCTTTTGTTCTTTCTATTTTAGATTAATCAAGGGCCTGCATATCAATTATAACCTACAATGGGATACTTCTTAAAATATATCCTTTGGGATCAACAAACAGTTGGAGACGTTGTAGAGTTTGGAGAGGGAATTCAATCTTTTAACAATGATTTATTTATGTCAAAGTGTTGAAGTGCAGAATGATAGTGTTAAGGTTAGTTCCAGCCCGTCGTCTTCTTCTGCCTCCTTCACAGGCTGTATGATTCCAAGTCCTAGAATCGCCTCCATGTATGAACCAAAATCTACACTTCGATTTGATGGATTTAATGTTAAAATGTTCATATTGCTTTGATTAATAAACTAAGATATAATAAGAAAGACAAATTAACTGTTATATTAACATATATACAACATCTATAATATTAATTATTGCTTATTGAAACTATCCCAATATGTATTCTCCCAATTCTCCACTCGCCTTATTGCATTAACCTTTCTTCTATAAAATGCCCCGAGAACTTTGGGTTCATAGGGAGGTGGCATGGTGCAGGGGCTTGTAATAGAAGGACCCTTCACCATAGATTCCACCATGAACTTCTTCTCCAATCCATTTGCCATGCAAGCCATAATCTCTGAGCATATTTCCACAGCTCCTTCAGGTACCATTGCCTTGAACTTCAAAAGCTTAGCATACTCATTTAGCAAATGAAACATGTAATCGTACACATCATCCATTTTCACTTTTTCTTGAATGAAGTTGCTGGCCGCTTTCCCAATTTCTTGTGCCTACCAAGTCCACAGATATAATATTAATAATTAAGTCGTAATTCTAAATTCTAAGAATTTAATATGGTCTAGCTACCTTTTGTTTGTGGTTATTACCCCAGTCTACAGCAAACTTGATGGATTTGCACTTCTGGTCTTCCCTTATTGGCCAGTAGTGTTCCACAGGTTGTAGATCTCTCAAGAAGAAATCATAATAATGGGGTTTTACAAGTAATGTCATAGAGTCACAAGCTAGAATGTATTTCTCACTAACGGACCAAGCCCATCCTTCAATGTAGATCTTGTACCTAAGTACATGAAACACAAATTGAAAGAGAAATTCCAGATCTTTCAAAGCGTCATTCTCTTAAACAAGATTAATTTATATACCTATGTGTGCATTGCCTTGCTAGGTTTGATTGCTTGAAGCCTTGCTGGGACTCAAGGATCCAATCCTTTGAAAAAATTAGACACCATACATATGCCAAATAGATATTAATCACCGCATGTTCAATTATATATTGTTGAGATTAGGCATTTTCAATCACAAATAATTAATGCTAAAGACTTACCTGGACATAGAGTCGAGCATTCCAGTCCTGTTTATCGGAGACATTACATGTAAGAAGGTCTTTTCTAGTTTCAGCTACGAAAGGGTTTCCTTTCCAATAGGCATATGGTTCTCTTTCTATCCATTTGCTCTTGACGTTGTTGCCTTCTTTCATCTCCCTTAATATACTATCCCATGGTCTTATATTTATCTCTGGCCTGCAGCAAGCATATACATGTAGCTCTTCTTATTCTAAAACCAATTCTGTCACAGATTTTAATTAAGGGTTTTTTTTTTTTTTTTTTCAGCTAAAGGGGTACATGCTGCAGATACTATAATAATACCGATTAAAAAAATTCATTGTGTTTTTCCAATATTATAAAAAGAAGATAATAAACTTTTTTTTTATGGGTGTTTGAACTAGTTTGTGTATACCCTCAACCAATCCCTCAAAGCTGTGAAACTATCAGCTGGATAAAGCCTCAGTGGCCACCTCTATTAGAGTTATCAGGCCACGTAATGGTGGTTAAGATAATAAACATTCATAGCTAGTGAGATGTGTTTAGTCATAATTAAAGAGAAATAAATATATGCTTCAGCGTGGTTAAGTTAATCATCATTAGCAAGTTTTCAAATTCCAGCCGTGTTTGCTCAAATATTTTCACTATTGAACCTTATCATAGATTCAGAAATGGTAGGTGGCATGTCATTGCACATTGGTGTATGACCAGATTATCAAGCTAGCTGTATATACAAAAAATTATACATATTAATCTACCCCACCTCCCAAGTTAACCAATTAGCATCTGCATGGCACCTAGATTTTTCAATGTAGGACCATGATACATGTTTACTAGTTGAAGAAATTCTAGATTGATTAATGCATCTATTGTTTTTATTCAGATCACAAGAAAAAAAAAAGCAATTGACAAATGAGAAGAAAGCTTGTGCATTACCATCCCCAGAAGGACCAATCAGGGAACACAATATCCATCGTCCACCTATCACCACAGTACCGAAACAGCGGTGGTGGAGCCGTCATGTTTTGTCCCCGGTAGTAGCGTGAAAAGATGACCGGCCGGTCATCACAGTCAAACATAAGCTCCAAGTCCGGTAACCTTCCAGGATACTTTCTTAGAAGTTGCAAGATGCCCCATATGGTGAATACATCTCTCGTCTGTATTGATTTTTTGTACCTCTCGATGTATGCCTTGTTGTTCACAATAATAAGGCGAAAATGAGCTGTTTTATTAGCTCTTTCCACCATGTCCCTAGTGATTCCTGTAACTTTCCATGGCCTTAGGTCTTCATGAATCCACCGAAAATAATCCGGGCATGATGCTTTTGATGATGGGTCAGGATCTTGTGTTTGGAAAGTTGTGGGGTAATTCGTTGGACAAGTTTGTGTCTGGTTTTGAGTAGAGCAATTGAGTGGGATTATAATTTCTTTAGGCGGTTTTTGGCGCTTTTGGAAGATAATCACGGTGTTATTTATTGAATTATCAACCGAAAATCTAGACTGCAAAAATTAAGAAGTTAATCAAGGCAAAAAATATAGTGATACTATTTGAGTTTACCAGGAGAAGTTTGATACTTACAGTGTCAACCCACAAGGAAGAAATGAAAGCAGCAACAATGAGGACAAGTAGAAAGAGTAGTAGTATTGTAGTAGTTGCCAGTCCCTTTTTCGGAGGGTGCCGCCATATCAGCGTCTCTGAAAAATGTGTAGCCAGTCCGGACCCGTGAAATATACTGGAGAATCGATGCATAGTTTAAGAAATTTATTTTTTTAGTCTAAAAAAAAGCTGAAGCCTGAGGCTACTACCCAATTAACAACCTCCTTCTGAATCAGTTTGTTTAAAGAAAAGGGTAAATGTCGGTGACAAGAAGAGGCTCCTACTCTGTCAGAAACTAAAAGAAGAAGAAGCAGCAAAGAAGAAAGAAGGCAAAATGGGCAAAGTATCTGCCAGAGACCGCCTAAGAAAGAAGAGTAAAAAGACCAAAGAAATGATTCTGATATTTTTCATATATGAATGTTTTGTACGAAATGTCAATTTATACAAGTATAAGAATCTCTAAAATAGGGATGGGCACAAAGCCCGCCCGGCGGAGACCCACTCCAATCAAGGCGGATTTTTCTCGAATCATTCGGGCTTTGGGCCGGGATCGGGCATAAGATTAGCCCCAGAATTCGGGATAGGTCTTGCCCCGCCCCGTCCCGTGTGTATATATATATTAATTTTAATAATTAAAAATCAATCATATATACCTATATTAATTTTAATATTTGAAAATCAATCATATATACCTATAATAATTTTAATATTTGAAAATCAATTTTACATTATACAATGATAAATTATAATTGTGTAAGTATTTTATGAAACTATATACAAATAGGTAATAAATAAAACTAGATTAAATATAATAAATCATTATATATATATGAAAATATGTTAATCTATGAATAAAAGTATAACATTCGACATTATACATTATATATGTATTTGACATTATACATTATACATTGTATATTATATATGGTATCTACTAGAGCTGGGCTTTTGGGACATGTTAATGCTATGAAACAAATTATACATCGACATTATATATTATACATTATTATGGTATTATTTGACATTATACATTATACATTGTATATTATATATGGTACTACTAGAGCTAAGCATTTGGGACCGGCCCAAAGCCCAGTCCCAAACCCGGTCTGGTCGGGACGAGGTGTGCCAAACACATGCGAGCTGCAAGTCAAAGGCACGAGCATAGCCCAACCCCCCCGACCGTCAAGGGTCGTGTCTGATGTAGGGCGATACTTCACTAATCAAAACGGCCAAAGACAAATGGGAGGGGGAAGAATCGCGTGGGATATGTAATTTTGTGGAACCATTATTGGCGGTGAGAAGGGGACTTCAACGATGCGACGACACGTAGAGAAGAAGCATCCCCAAATAGATACATCTTCAAGCAGATCAGGACCATCAGGTAGACAAATTCAAACTCAACTTAATTTTAATCCACATCCTCAACTCTCTCAACATGACAATACAATACACATGTTGCACGAGGAAATAGCAAGATATATAGTTGCTACGGACTCTCCTATTTGTTTACTGAAAATCCTTTTTTGTTAATATGGTTAAAACTGTATTTTGTCCAGCATATACCCTGTTAGTAGAACTACAAGTAGAAGATATGTACTAAAACTTTATAACAAAATAATAATAAACTTAAAAACGAATTTCAAAACTTAGGAATATATCTATTGCACTTACATCAGACATATGGGCTTGTAGATCAAAAACTGATTTTTTAATTATCACAGTACATTCTAAGATCATAATTGGGGTTTACAACAAAAATTGAGTTTTTAAACCATATATGAAAACATAGTGCTGAAACTATTTATTTTACAATTCTTGAAGTTTTGCAAGAATATTATTAACTGATAGAGTTGTAGCGCTAATGCTTATAATGCAGCTGCTACACCGTGACAATCTCTTTATTTGAAAAGAGATTGGATCCGCTGGTGAAGCAAATTTTTTCACCAGAGATGTGCTTGTCACTCATCAATTTGATAGTTAAAGCAGGTTTAGATGCTATACATTCAAGATGAGAGGGTGCACAGAGCTATCAGATTTATCGTCGGCGATAGCAATAAAGATAGCAGGAGTGTCAATATTGTAAGCAGAGGAGCCACCGGTTCGACCTTTGAAGTTATGTACAGACATGCCTATCCGTTGGAACTCTACCTACTTGATGTTGGAAAAAGCTTTGCCAACCCCAAAACAAATTACAGATTTCGTCAACCGGAAGAATTCAGAGGAAGTTGTTAGCTATGATTGGGCGGTTTGTGAACTTTTTTTATTCATTTCTTAAAATTTTTATGATGCTACTAATACATTAAGTGATATTTATTATCCAACTACTAATTTAGTGTTAGATATTTTAGTTCAAATTGCTAAAACTTTTGCTCAATATAGATATGATAACATTTTAAGTGAAATTGTTGTAAGTTGGAAAAAATATAAGAGATATTGGTTAGATATTCCATCTTATATGGATTAGGCATTTTTCTAGATCCTAGGTTTAAATTATCCGTAGTTAACGTGTGTTACTGAGTTAGACCTCATTTAGATATGATTATACGTCTTATTGATTGACTTTAAACACAATTGGATAGGCTTTTTTCTTTATATGAGATCAGGTACAATGGAAGTGGAACGTCTAGGAGAGGCGATCAAGACCTGATGCAACCCCCCCTCAAGGATCGAACAAGTGGGCATATGTGGAACGTGGCAGAAGCTCCACTCGTACTACATGGACCAAATGAGCCGACTCCTACCTACAGGTGGACCAGACCTTTATGACGATGAAGGAGCAACTTGACATGGATATTCTTCAATGGTGGACCCACATTAAAAGTCGATTCTCCATTATATCCCAAATGGCACGTGACATTTTATCTGTGCCAGTTTCTACAATTGCATCCGAGTCAACATTTTTAACGAGTGGTCGGATTGTTAAAGACAGAAGATGTTCTATAACCGATGAGATGATTGAAGTGATAACGTGTTTACGGGATTTGACTCATGCAGAAAGAAGACTATAACAACACCCTGAAGATCTCGAACTACTCGAACTCTTTAGGAATACAGATTTGAATAATGTAACTAGTGTTGACAATGAAATTGAAGATGAATAATTTAATTAAAAAAAATTATTTAATTGTTTATTTGTGAAGCATGAATGTGTGAAATGTGAATATTACATTTATGTTAAAAATTAAAATTAACTATTAATTTATTATTTTTTCAAATTAATTAAATTTTAAGAAACTTACTAATCAACCCCTAAAAAAATACTAAAAACCCCATATAAAACTTCATTTCGCCCCTAAAATATAAAAAAAAAAATCAGGGGGAAAAAAAAATTATCTAAGCCCATAGGACTGGTCCTGGGCCTATAGGACTAGTCCCGACCAGGCCTAAGGCCTGGTTCGGGTCCTGGTTTTTCTCATGGGCCTAGGACTGGCCCTAGGCCCATGAGTGACTGATCCCATTTGGGACCAATCCCAAACGGCCCCAGGCCTGGGCTCGCAAGGGACCGGTCCCTACCCACCTCTAGTATCTACTATATAAATATAATGTATATAACATATATATGTTATACATCATAATTTATACATAATATGCTATTATCTATAATCTTACGTTAATACATAATATATATGTAATTTATTATTTATTGTTTTGATTGATTATAATGAATCAATAAATCATTATAATTTTTTTTTTGTCCCTCATTGAATCATTATTTCAATTCTATTATCTAATTGCCTTTGTTATATTGTGATAACTATTTATTTAGAATTTATTATAATATATATGGTAGTTATTTATTTAAAATTTATTATAATATATATATGTATAATGTATCATATGTGTGATACATTATATATATGTTACTATTTATTACTTAATACAATAATACATAATATTATACTGTTAATATATAATATATTTATATATATGTATAATGTATTATAATTATCATTTTGATATTTGGATTTATTATAATCATTAATCAGGGACGGATCCAACACTTATTGAGGGTGGGTATTTTAACAAAAAAAATACTAATATGTATAATTGTGGGGTGGGTCTTTTTGGCAGCTCATGTTTTGAATCTTGATACTGTCATATTTTGAATCTTTTGATTATAGATCTGTCACATATTGTAATATATTATCAATTTAGTATGATGGTTTTTATATTTAATGTGTATATTATAGATTTAATTTCTTTTTTGATGATATGGTCTTTATGTTTAATATGTATATTATATATTAAATTTTTTTTTGATTGGTATATATAATTTGGAGAAAAGGATAGTAAAACTAATAAGGATACAAAAAGACAAAAAACCCCCAAACGGGGAATCCCCGAATTCCCCGAACGGGCTTCGGGCCGGGATCGGGGAATCCCCTTGGGCTTTCGGGCCGGGGCCAGAGATAGGGGTCCCCGGCCCCACCTCGGCCCGTGCCCATCCCTACTTTAAAAGGCAAACATATATCATGCCTTAATGCTGTAATCTCACATAATTAGGGATGTGATTACCATGAATTATGCTACGTATTAATAACATAATATTTGTCATTATGACAAATATTAGTTTTCCTAATTAACAATATTCATATGATCTTCACACTCCCCCTCAAGCTTGTGGTTTGTATGTGTCATAAACGCCAAGCTTGTGTAAGAGATATGAATGTTGTCTGCTGCACAATAGTTTTGTAAAAATATCAGTTGGCTCTTCTGAAGTTTGAATGTGCATTGTTTTGATCATCCCTTCTTGTATTTTCTCTCTGATGAAGTGGCAGTCAATCTCTATATGTTTTGTTCTCTCGTGGAAAACTGGATTTGTTGCAATATCATTTGCTGCCTTGTTATCACAATACAACTAGATAGGTCTTTTGACTTGTACCTCCAAATCTCCTAATAATCCAAGTGATCTCACATGTAGTCTTAGCCATATATCTGTACTCAGCTTCTGTTGACGAAAGGGACACCGTAGACTGTCTCTTTGTCTTCCAGGAGATGAGAGCTCCCCAAAGTTTTATGCAAAACCAATAACAGACTTTCTTGTCATTGGACATGTGGCCCAATCATAATCACAATAGGCTGTGATATCTAAATCAGTATTTCGTGGTAACAGTAGTCCAAGGCTGGGACACCCTTTTAAATACTTTATTACCTTTATTGCTGCATCCATGTGAGATTATTTTGGTCCATGCATGAATTGGCTAAGGATATGTATAGCGTAGCTGATATCTGGTCGCGTCATAGTGAGATAAATGAGACGTCTTACAAGTCTCTGATAATGAGAAGCATCTTCTAATGGTGGGTTTATTTCTGTCGATGAAGCCACTTTATCATACTCTTGAGTGGTAAGTTTTGAATTTTGTTCGACAGGGATGACACTTGGCTTGCAG